ACCGAAGGGTCCCCCATGGAGGGCACGGTGAGCCCGAGACCGCCGGGGTCCAGAAGCGGTCCTGCAGCCGTGTCGCCCGAGACTTCCCCGCAGCTTCTTCAGGAATCGCGCTCTCGCCTCAGCGCGGCCACGTGCTCGAGGCGGGAGGTGCACACGACCGCACGTCTCCCAGGAATCCCCAGCCCTACGTGGGCATGCGCGCCTTCACCGGCCGACCTGCTGCGCCTCGACACGCTGCTTCACCAGAAGAAGGAACCGCGCCATACGCGAAAACTTTTGGCGCTCCGCGCGGATTACTTGGATCTGCGCTGGACCCCCCCCCCTCTCTGGCGCGCGGAGCGCGCCAGGGGCTGCGCCAGAGGCGCCGCCAGGGGGGTCCCAGCGCGGATCCAAGAGATCCGCGCGGAGCGCGAACAGTGTATGTGTATGGCTCTTTTTCTTCTTCGATTTGCTTTGCTTGCTACCAAGATACTTTGCCGAGAGGACTCCATCGCGGCGGTCTTCCTGTACTTCTGCGGCCCGCGGGGGCGGTCTTTCGGGCCGTGGGGTGCACGGTTTCGCCCTTGGCCGTAGGCGATCCGAGGAGGAGGAGCGAGGAAAAGGAGGAGGAGGAGGAGGAGGAGGAGGAGGAGGAGGAGGGGGAGGGGGAGGAGGAGATGGAGGAGGAGGAGGAGGAGGAGGAGGAGGAGGAGGAGGAGGAGGAGTAGGAGTAGGAGGAGGAGGCGGAGGAGGAGGAGGAGGAGGACGGGTTGACTAAGCCCTTCAAAAAAACCCTCCACCCTGGCGCCGTCAAAAACATGAATCCGGGACGACAACCTGTCCACAGGAGAGCGGTCGGGAGGGAGTTCCAGAGGCCTCGGGCTGAGGAAGTCACGGCGCCGGTCGGAGGTCCGGATCCCCACGCGTTTTCCGAGAGCGTTGTCTCCGACGCGTTCCCAAGACGCGTGCCAGAAGCCTTTCCGCAGCTCCCTCGAGGCTCCTTGAAAGCTCCTGCGAAGCTCCTAGCTCGAGCTTGCAAGGCCATGCCAGTAGGGAGGATCCCCATCCCCACTGGCATGGCCTTGGCCCCGCTAGCCGACTTGCTCCACCCACTTATGGGGGGGGGGCTGTGCCCTTCGGATTGCTCGGGGCCCGCCCCTGCCGGGGGGGGGGCTGGTAGGGCTTAGATACCGTCATGGCCAAGTTGGGATGGGGATCAGCTAGACGGTGCTGAGAGTTTAGACAATCAAGCCAGACGATCACTTCAGGTCGGTGCCGTGTGTTCCTGTGTGTGGTGCGTGTGTGCGTGCGAGCGCGCGTGCGTGTGTATGTGTGTGTTGTGTGTTGTGTGTTGTGTGCTGTGTGCTGTGTGCTGTGTGTTGTGTGTTGTGTGTTGTGCGTTGTGTGGCGTGTGTTGTGTATTATGTGATGTGTTGTGTGTTGTGATGTGTGATGTGTGTTGTGTGTTTTGTGAGTTTTGTGTGTTGTATGTTGTGTTGTGCGTTGTAAGTTGTGTGTTGTGTGGTGTGTGTTGTGTGCGTTGTGCGTGCGTGCGTGCGTGCGTGCGCATGTCTGTGTGTGTGCGTGTGTGTGCGTGTGTGTGTGTTTGTATGTGCGTGCGTGCGTGCGTGCGTGCGTATGTGTATCTGTGTGTCTGTCTACGCCCCGTCGCCGCGCGCGGGGCCGCAACGCGGAAATGTGTGCGTGCGTGCGTGCGTGCGTGCGTGCGCGTGTACGTGTGCGTGTGCGTGTGCGTGTGCGTGTGCGTGTGCGTGTGCGTGTGCGTGTGCGTGTGCGTGTGCGCGTGCGTGTGCGTGCGTGCGTGCGAGTGTGTGTATGTGTGTGTGTGTTTCTGTGTTTCTACGCCCTGTCGCCACGCGCAGGGCCGTGTGTGTGGGGGTATTTTGGTGTGCGGTATTTGTGTGTTTGTGTGTGTGTGTTTGCCTGTGGTACGTCTGCGCATGTGTGTGTGTGTGTGCTTGTGTTTGTGTGTGTGCGTGCGTGCGTGCGTGCGTACGTGTGTGCGTGTGCATGTGCGTGTGCGTGTGAATGTTCGTGTGGGTGTGTGGGTGTGTGGGTGTATGGGTATGTGGGTGTGTGGGTGTGTGGGTGCGTGGGTGTGTGTGCGTGGGTGTGTGGGTGTGTAGGTGTGTGGGTGTGTGGGTATGTGAGTGTGTGGGCGTGCGGTTGTGTGTGTGTGTGTGTGTTTGTGTGTGTGTGCGTGTGCGTGCGTGCGTGCGTGTTTGTGTGCGGTTGTGTGTATGTCGGCCTCACGATTCGTCCCCTGGCGGGGACCCTCTGGGCCAAGCTGGTTACCGACGATGTGCATGCGAGGGGGTACAGGCGAGAACTTGTGCTTGCCGTGTCGCTGCGGCGGCCCGGCGACACACCGTGCCATGCGAGCGGATGGCGTGTCGCGCCTCTCCGCGGGGCGGGGCGTCGAAGGAGCTCGGCACGTGGACGACGCCTCGGGACCGCGAAGTGGACAGCGTGTCGCGCCGAGACGTGGCGGGCCGACACG